CAGCGTTGTTCTGAATAGACCCATCACCTGTGTGCTATAATCCTCTGAGGTTTCTGCACTTGGGATGGGCAAAATTAGTACAGGAGACAAACTCCCAGTGTTATGCAGAAGACGAAATTCTCGTGCTTGGTGGTAGGACAGCTGGAGGTAATGCTGTGGGAGCAGGGGCGGGGAAAGCCTTCTGCTGGGCCTCCAGACATGCTCCCCACAGATGCTGTTTTCTCTGGGTTTACCGCAGACCAGAAGATACACCTGAGAGAGGACCTTCCACGCCCGCTGCTGCACGAGAAGCATTAGTGTAGCAGGTTTCTACCTTGTGCATTGGATGCATACCTTTTTATTCCCTGCTTTTCATAGCTGCAGCTGTAAGCAACTAAATTATGGCCATTTCACTGTCAGAAGACTGCCAGTGGCAGAAATGGAATAGGATTTATCATTAGTGCAGAGAAGCCCTCCCTGAATGCCCAGTCAGGTGCTGAATATCTATAGCTCTTACTGAGATCAGGGAGAGCTACTCTTTTTTTGCATTTACAGAACTGTCTTCACTGCTGAGAACCCAAGGGCATGTGCAAGCTTTTGGCTCATCTCTGAAGCTGGTGAGGCAGCTCTGCGGTGTGTTAAATACCCAGTTCTGCCTACTGACTGGAAAGGTTTGGTGGCAGAGTGAGACAACTAGAAACTAATATACTTACCAGTAAAATATTATGTTACGTAGATCTGTATTTTTTTTTTTAAGTAAAATTTTGGATGTTTTCCTCTTAGTTTCGAGAGAAGTTTTACTTTTAACTTGGTATATCTTTCTTTACTTAGAGATAGAGTGAGAAGCTGAATTTCACTCTTCAGAAATACCTTCAGAAATGAAAATACCATTACTTTATTCATTCAGTTTTACTGCATGTTAGTGAGTGATGTGCCATTAACAAAATAGTCAGGCATGCACACCTGCGCTTTGATTGTGTGTGCATGGGCCAAGGGAAACAAGTGGCTCACTCTTCCAGGCTGACAGCATTGTAAATTGGGGGAATGCTGTCTTGTTGAATCTACACCTTGATGGAGATGGAGTTGAAATGATAGCACTGGCAGAGGTGTGAATCCTTTCACCTCATCCTAATGGGGTGTTAAATTAGGAACTTAGTTACGACTGTATAAATGTATTTAAGACAGTTGTCCACAGCACACACACTTAACATGAGGAATTGAACACGTACATTTTACAGTATATTAAAGTATTTCTGTTGTTAATGTGTATTATAATGAAACCTACTGGATTTATTTCTAAAATTTGGAATTGCATTCTGTCTTTTAAATTACTACTTAGGTATTTAGTTTGCTGATGTGTGGTATCATTTACAAATTCATAGCTGTCATATATGGCTTATTTAGATTGAGTTGATTTGTATTCTTCAGAAATGCTTGTGAAGTACGTTATAATTTTATTTTACTTTAAATATCAGTTTTAGGATTTTAGTATATCCTGCAGTGTACTGTTGAGCTGATTCTGGACAGGATAACTCCAGAACCTTTGCATGGTGCTGTAGTAGTTTTTGCCTCTTAGTGAGTACCATGCTCATTTGCTTAGAAGAAATAACAGTGTTATCACAGAATTCTTTATTATTATTTTTTTTAATGGTGGTGAGGTGCATCAGATATACTCCACACTGGCAGGTTTGATCCATTTCTTTTCAAAGCTGTCGTGCATGTGTGATTGATGTGCAAGTATGCAGCAAATGCTTTACATCCCAGCTATGTCAGCCTCATTGCATGTGCTAAGTAGAGATGTCTGAGTATGCACAGTAAACCCAACATGTCTGGAACACATCAGACTTGCTGGACAGACATAGATCACCTGCTTTAGAATTTAGTTGATTGCTTTTGGTAGGCTTGGCAGGTTTGGGGCATGTAACTGAGCCATCTATCATGAGTGGCTAACAGTAAACCTGGTCCTCTTTTTCCCCCCCTGTGAGGAACAGTAGGAGTTCTTCATTCTTTAGAAAATAAGTTTCTCAGATGTGAAGAGAAATGGCTTCTCCCATTAGTCTGTTGGGAGAGTGTCTTCCATGTACAGAAGAGGCTTATCAAGGCAGGTTAGAGGAGGTCCCTGAGAATGGAGCTGTGCATCCCTTTTCCAGTTGGACTACTGTTTTCCAAAGCAGAGGAGTACATTGTAGAGGGACAATTTGTAATTCTGTTTTTTGTTTTTTTTTTTTTTTTTTTTTTTTTTTTTTTTTTTTTTTAAATTATTATCTGCCCAGTCAGGAAGATTTCCACATAAATTTGCCCATCAGTCCATTAGGAGCAGCCAGGGAAAAATCTTATCTTTGCCTTAAAATATTTTGTGAAGTGAGTTCCTAGATAGCTTTGCCAGTTCCATCAGACAGCGCCTTTATGAGTTCAGGCACAGTAAGGATTTACATTCCTCCTAACCAGGCTTGTATCAGATAGATAACATCTCTTGATAGGTAGTCAGCCTTCTTCACGAGAAGAACATTTCTTTGGAATA